TTAATGACAAAAGTAGACCAGACTGATTAGCTTGATTTCAGCAGTGAATGATTTATGTAGCCTGTTTCAAATGCAGAAGAATTTTCTAGCACAGTGAGAGAAAAATAATATTGTCTACAGAGTCAAAGGATATTTGTTTGACTACAAAGCTTTCCAGCAGGTAAGGAAGGAGAGTCAATTTCTGTTGCAGAGATCTGTAGCTTCCAAGCAGGAAAACTAGGGGGGGAAGCCCCACCTCAGAGAAACAAGGCTGTTCATGGAAATAGCAGACTCTTTTGAAAAAGTTCCAGCAGGCTTTGAAGGCAATTCCATATTTCTGCTGTTATAAATCATTGATCTTCTAATTTTTTGAATTTACACTTGACACATCCTGTAATATTCTGTATGATAGAAAGGCAGTCAGGGTTACTTGGTGTGCTCTGTCATTTTGCCAGACTAACTGGGCAGACTGTGGCTAAGTGACAGCACAGCTGGGAGACTTGACACCAAATCAGGCTTCTAATGCTCCTTGGAGTAGTTCCCTTGTAAACACTGGAGATGGATCACAAGTGGGAATTGTTGGGGATGCTGTAACCATTAAAGTGATGCCAAACAAGCTTGGAGGAAGGAAGCTGACTCCAGCAGTATTCCATTTTCTCTGATTACTGTTATTTTTAAAGCACTTTTAATTAGAGGCATGCATGAAAATGAAGCCAGATATAACCCAAACCCACAAGAAACAGCCCAAAAAAACAAACCCTGTAAAACCCCCAAAGCCAGTCTGTGGTTCTACTCTGTCCTGTTTAGCAGGGGCATTGTAAGGCCCAGCTCTCCTTGGTGTAATTATTTGTTTTAAGCCTTAGTCACAATGTAGAAGTCTGAGATGATTGGAATTGGAGCCTGAGTTAGCCTGAGCATCGCATGCATCCAGAATTCCCCCTCCCCTGTGCCTTCACATGCTGTTTTTCTCTCTTTGCCAAGGTGGCTGGCAGTGTTTGTATTTTCTGCCAGCATTCAGCCATGGTAGAAGTGATACCCTGCTTAAACCAGAGACTTCCTGAGGGTAGCACAAAGGGCAAGAGCATCCTGTGGTGCTGTATGCCACAACTCAAGGGTGCACTCCAGCATTGTGTGTGTATATATGAGATTAGTAATGCTGCTGGTACAGACAAGTAATTCTTACAGGCAGGAGCTTTGAGTTTACTATGGCTCTCCAGGGCATTGTTTTACACTTTCATTGCTGCTTTTTCATTGACTGCATAAATACAAACAAATAGAAAACAAGATTTGGTCTTAGTTTTGATTGTGTGTGTTTATATGTGTTGGTTCAGGTTGTAGGTTTCCAAAAAAAGTTTTCACTGTGATCCCTTTGTGCTGCAAATTTGAGATACCTGATTTTGCATTTGTCTGGAGTAAGGAGCAACATACAGAAACAGACTTAGTAGTCTCAAATCAGTACAGATGTAGGTTTAGGGGAACTCCATGAGAAATACTAATTCAGGGAGACGATACAGTTAAAAAGAACTGCAAGAATTAATATTGCCACCTTTGTGGTACTACAGAGTTGTTTTAGGCAAAAAAAAAACATAAAAATTTTATTTTTATATAACCTGTAGAATTCTGCAGCAAATAAATTGTTGGTCTGAACAGTAGAAATGGAAAGACTTGGTAAATTATTCAGTATAGTTTCCTGATAAAACAGTGTTTGTTTTTGGAACATTTTCATTTCTACTCTCCAATCCAGACTAATTTTGACGTCCTAATGGTAATTATGTGCAGCCTGCCACAGTTTCTCCAGGAAAAGTACTTTTGTGGTCAAGGTCAAGACTGGGGCTCAGGAGATTTGATTTTTATTTCCTGACTCTGCATCAGGCCTTATGACTGGGCTCAGAACCCTGCTTCTAAACAGGAAACATGAGGTTCCCATGTCTCTTTCTCACCTGGATTTCAAATTTGCTTAGGCAGGACCTTTGAGATGCATCTTAAAGCAGGAATTATTTTTGTTAGAGTCAGACCTGAGCAGAGAACACTTGTTTTCTAAAAATATTAAGGAAAATAATTTACTGTACTTTCAGCCCAGATCTTGCAATTGATTCCAGTTCAAACATGCATGCCCAGAGTCATTAGATTAGAAAAGTTGACGCAGCCCACTATGAATTTGATTCTGCAGGCTGCAAAGACTTCTTATATGGCAGAAATTTGGGTTTTTTTTACAGTGCCAGGTTTTCTCCTTGTGCTGCATATTTATTTTCCTTCACTCTCATTACTGAATGTTGTTCTGTGCTAAGAAACTCCCAAGTTTTGTGATCAGATTGTACAGTAAAGCTCTTCCCCAACTTCATGAAAAGTGTAGGTTTAAGGGAAGATTTACATGGGAGCCATTTCTTGAAGTATAATATAGGTTGGATATGAAAAACCCTCCTCTTCTAAAGAAAAACCTGAATAAAGGCATATGTGCTCAACTTGAATTGTTTTAAAATCGTACATGTGGAGATCTGTCTGTTTAATGCTGAAACTTCAAATTGCTGGATTGCTTTATACTGCTATTATCTTTCAACTTGATCTATGGGTACATGTACAGTAGTATACTGTACTGTAGCATACAGTAGTTTGTGCTGAACAAACCATAACTTATCATGATGTTTTCAAAAGAGTTTATACATCTACTATCTATAGCTTTAGAAGAGAGATCCATTGTGTTAAAAAAAAGTGTATAATTTCTCAAGATGTGTCTACAAATCAACAGTTTGTTTTATGGGGCTGGGTAGTAACGAATAAGTTGTGTCTCTGAAAAACTTATTAACAACCCTTTGGCAAAGAAAACCTAGAAAGAAGCAAAGATAAAATTTCTCTGCTTACCTAAAAAGTTATTTTTTATCCTTTCCATCTCATAAGATCATAAATGAGCAGAAGTTGTCCCAGAACACTAGCAGTATTTGGTATCTACCAGTTATAAGTTAACATGAGGCATGTTGTTTGCAGTGTTCTATTTAAACTACTAAATAAGGAGGAGCAACTAAGATATTCAAATTCCTCCCAGGTAAGAAGACATGGGCCACTTTTAAAACAAAAGTTGCCATTGGTTATGTGAGATCAGTACTCCTGGGAAATCATTCATACTTCTCAGGATACTTTACCATGAAATGCAGCAGGTGAAAACCTTGCAGGCAAATACTGATATGGCCAATCAGTTCTCAGCAGACACTGTTCAAATGTTATGTTGAAAATGTTGTGCTGACAAGAACACAGAAATATACAGAACACTAACTGTAGTAGAATACATTCACATTTATAACCTGAGACATAATCTGATAGGCTGTGAAAAGAGCAAATGCTTTTGAGAGTTATGAAGGAAAACATTATTAGCTTAGACTTCTACCCTCCCCCCCTTGAAGTCACTACCATTAGGTCAACACTGGGAATTCTTATAAATCACATTTTTTAATTTATACAGAATATTGGCTTTCATTGAGAGATCTGATATTTTCATTGCCTTCAGTTCATATTGTCAACACTTTTGAGTGTGGGTTGGCATTGGCACTGCCTGCTGTCAACAGCCCCACTTCATTCCCTCCTGCAGTTTTCTCTCTTCAGTCCCGGGATGTCAAAAACACTTCATTGATTGTGCATCGGGAAACTTAAGCTGGTTAAATGGATACTGTCCTATTACAGAACAACAGGTAGTTGAAGGTAAGAATAGCTAAGCTGATGCTAACAGAGGATGATGTAGAAAGAGAGGAAGCAGAGACTGGCCATGCAAATAAGACCAGGTTTCTTTTAACTTTTGTGGAAACAATAGAGAGAAACTACTTAGAAAAACAGAAGACTGTCCACTTCTTCATGTTTTCAAATGAGACAATATTCCTTTTAGAAGCTATGTGGTGACACACTATTTCTTAACTTCAATATTTGGATAAGAGGGGGAAATCTAATGAACTGCAATATACAGGAAGTAAAATGAACTGCTGGAACTTTACGGCCTTTTAGCCAACATTCTTTAAGATAAATCCACTGTCCATGGGCAATGGTCTTTATGGTGAAATCTTTAGTGAGGAACAGTTTCAACTAATTTGCAAGAAATAAAACATAAAAATGGATGGATAAGAGGTGTTTCTACCAGTTCCTTTTATGAATCTGTAAAGTGCATAAAATATCTATGAGGTATACATACAAAAGCAGGAGAAAAAAGTCCGAGCCACGCTAAGTCAGGTAATCTGTATGACAATTAAAATATATTTAGGTAAGATCTAACCTTGTGCCCTCTGTAGTCTCCAGAAATCATATGGTTGGCTCTTGGACATGAAGGTAGACCAAATGTAGTCTATTTTTCAACAAGAACTCGGGGTTTTTTTTTGGTTTTTTAAATCACTCTTTACTGTCAGCACAGTAACCATAGATTTTTGCACTGCAGCTTTTTATGAAAATTGAACCAGAAACTTAATCCGTTTCAGTTGCCTACCTGAACAGAAAAGCCTCTGCAGTGTTGAGTGGTGTGCTCTGAGTATGAAAGCTCTCTGAAGCTCCTCCTTCACACAGTGGGAGCAGGAAATTCCTGTCTTGTTTTTGCAGGAGTTCCAAGGAATTCTCTATATGCTCAACACTCGACATTCTCTGTGTCCTGAAGCATTACTAATCACACAATGTCACTGGTTATTGTTGTCTGTCTCTTTTTTCATTCTCTTCATTCATCTCTTACTGAGTGAAGCAAGAAAATGTATTTCTAACAATTAAAAAGGGATTATAATACCTAAATTCTGGGAAACGCATTTCAGAATTACTAATTTCTTTCTTTTGTGGGACAGTGAGTCCTTTAAGATTGTGTTCTGGAGTGGACAGGCCCTTTTTTTCCCCCTAGCATCATAGATTGGTCAGATACGAAAATTTCATCCAAGTTCTGTTTTATTCTGAATTGTAAATTGCAAGCTTAATGTTTCTAAATTGTGGATTTCTCATCTTCTATATCCACATAATATTTTGAGCCAGTATTTGTATTTTTTATTTGTTCTTGGTGGCTGTTGCAGGTAACGGCAAACATGTACAGTGGCTCCATGGGAAGGACGGTGAGGTCTGGGTCTGGGTTATGGGAGAAGCCCCAGGTGACAAGCCATATGAACAGATATCAGAGGAGCTAATAGCAGAGCGAGCCAGGCAACAAGCACAGAAGGAGGCAGAAGAAATATGGTGAGGATTTAAGAATCTGAATTCAGGGTCCACTTGGCATATTGGGAGACATGGCCTTGTAGAAAGGCAGCAGGTAATGGTGGGTAAAACTGGTAAGTATGTTTTGTGAACATTTGCTTTCACTTATTGTGGCAAGTTTTTTGTAGCATGTGAAAAATGTATTTTTATCAAATACTGGAAAACAACAAAGCCCTCTTTCACAAAAAAAGTGAAGCAAACGTTTTTCTTTTGGGGAATTTTCATAAACCATTGACCAGTTTCTAAATAAATAAAAATGAAACAACCTTGTTTTGAGATGATTAAATTAGAAATGTTTGCTTTATAACACATCTATGCCCACAATGGGGATTTGGTACAGTAAATCCTTTCTGAAATTGATTTTATTTGCATATTGCTTGTATTAATTCTTATCCCAGCAGTTAAGAAACTGTGATTACATAAAGTGTTATGCTGGTATTTCCAGCAGGGCCTCTTCCAGCTTTGTGAGAGATTCAGAAGTGTTTTGGTGCTTGACATTGTCAGGAAATAGGCCACCTGCCTACTGCACTTCCTTTTGTAGTGCAACACTGAAAAATGACAGTTTAAATATCAGATTATTCTAATTGTACTTTTAATGTGAGATTCTTCTTGCTTATAGTGATTGCATATTTAAGTAGGGATTAAAAGCTGCAGCCTGTGCTCTGCATTCCTTTTACGTTGTCAGTACTGATAAAAAACCTAGTGTAAGAATTTGGCAGACATTTGTATTGATATTTGAAGGACAATAAATTCCCAATCATACTTTGATACACTGACAGAAAAACACCTGTTTTTCAGCCAGGGAAGGAAGAATACAGGGTATGACTCAAAGATATCCAAGAAGTACTTTAATTTAGAAGGTGCTATTTTAATTAGTCATTTATCAAAAATTAAAAATGTCTGCTTTCTTGATAGTTTCCTCAAATCTGATTTGTGCTATTTCTCTTGTTAAATGTATTTTAATTCCTTCCTTGCATGTTTTCATGAAGTCTTATGCTAAGTATTTGTTGCAGCTGGTGAGAAAATATATATCCTCGATTAAAAAAAAATAACTGGTGTCTTAAATTACTTTTATGTTCAAATCCTTTTCTGAAGGAGACAAAAGGAGGCTGAAATTACAAAGAAATTCCGGGATGCTATGGCTCAAGAAAAAGCCAGAATAGTGGCAGAAAAATGGAAAATAGAAATAGAAGATCGGAAAGCTGCCAAATTGGAGGAGGAAAAAATTCAGGAGGAACTGAAGGTTTGCATAGAGTAATTTAGCATTTTTAATAGTGTTTTTATATAGATTCCAAGTTCTTGTCACCTTCAGTGCATGTTTATTAATAACTTTAAAACCTAGAGTTGTAATTTTTCATCCTGGAATGTACAAATAGCTACATGGTGTTCACCGGAACAGCTGGCTGAGTTATGCAAAAAAATTACATATCTCATTCAAAAGTGTCAGGACAATCAAACTGGTTATTCAGCTCAGACATTAACAGAATTGTTCAGTCAGCTGTGTGGAATGAATCATACTGGAGAAAAATGTACAATTGTGAAATGTCACATTTTAAGTTGGTTTCTTTGGATGTATTTTGTGTATTTTGGCTAGGTTGTTCACATATTTAACTTGAAAATTCTGTCACTGCTTTCTTCAAGAGGTGGATCCTTCTCCTACTCAACATATGGGAAAAGTCCAGTTGGCTTTGCTGGAAGACATTCATTTGCCTGATTTTTATTCATGTCATACTGAAGTTTCTAAGAGCAAAGTTACAGAATTTTACTGTTTGAAATATTTGTTTTCACATTCTCTTGTTGAAAAGAAGATAGCTTCTCTCTCCCTTTTCATATTACTTTATAAAGATAAAAACTTGTTTAAAAATGAAAAAACTAAAATATAATTGGTTTGGAGCGCAGAGAAATTGTCAGCCTTCTGAGTCTTGGATGTGCACACTGGGACTGCACAAGATGGTGAAGCTGGGTTTCCATGGAGAAAGTCTGTAGCAAAATATGACTCCTAGGAGATCTGCATCCAGTAACTTCCATCTACATGCTTCTGCCCTGCTGATGGCTTGTTATGCCATTTTTCCCTTCCTGGCACTGTGATTAAAAGTGCAGAAAGTGCAGATAGACTCCCACCTTGTCCCCCTGTGAAGGGAGAAATGCTGAAAAACTCGGTGTTAAATTTATATATGGTTTGATTACAAACTAGAGTCAGCATGTTATCTGTCATTCTGTGAACTGTGGGCTTGGAATTTGAGGGTTGTTATAGTGATTATAGGGTAGTGCAAAACAAAGGTGCACAATTAATCTGAACTCATAGGAGAGAACAGGGCCTTTGAAATTTGATGTCAGTAAGTAATGAAACTATACTTTTCAAGTGCTTTATTATCGTATGAATAATGAACAGAGCAACTAATTAAAAGCTCTTTTCTCTGCTTGCTGGAAAGCAAAGCCCTCTTGAACAAAGACTGATATTCACTTAATATCTATGCGGCTGATTTACAGTGCACAACCTATGGGTTGACATAGTTTAATAACTAAAAAATATGGTATACTAGTACTACTGGTAAAAATAAGAGGGAGATATAAACCTAAAAGGGGGAAGGAAAACAAAAACAACTAAAGTAACAGTGACACATAATACAATTGCTCACCACTTGCTGACCAATACCCAGCCCGACTAGAGCAGTGATTGGTTCCTTCTGGATAACTCCCCCCAGTTTATATAATTGGCATGACCTGTTGTGGTATGGAATACCCCTTTGGCTAGCTTGGGTCAGGTGTCCTGCCTGCTTCCTTCTGGCTTCTTGTGTTCCTCCTCACTGGCAGGGCATGAGAGACTGAAAAGTCCTTGACCAGAGTAAGCATTACGTAGCAACAACTGAAACATCAGTGTGTTATCAGCATTGTTCTCAGACTAAGACAAAATACAGCATTGCACCAGCTTCTAGGAAGAAAATGAATTCTGTCCCAGCTGAAACCAGAACACCAACATCTTTGGAAACAAGATATTATTTAGTGGTTATCTTTTAAATGCCCCTTTACTGAACGTGCTCCCAGCATTTGCTATATTAATACAACATAGTCTAATTACACTTCAAGGCCTGGGTCTTCATTTAGGTCTATAATTTGAGATCTTTTGTGAGGGAATTGGACTAACATAGCAGAGACCCAAATACACACTTATCCCTGGTACTATAGCACCACAACTTTGCTGCTCAAAAAAGCTGCTGATCTATTACTTGGTCTTGAAAGAGCGGGTTTTTGTACATAGGACTGTAGAAATTATTAAAAACAGCAAAGGCATTTCAAAGACCAGTGAATCTCACAAGCTAATATGGGGAACTTCTCTATCCACTGGCTTATTTAAACTCGGCTTTCCTACTGCTTCACATTTTACTCTTTTTATAACTATTCTTGTGCAGTGGAAGAAGTACATGAAATATTTACAAGCTGAATGAGTATAAAGATACCTAAACAGGGAAATGGGAAGATATGTTTCTGGCATCTACTTCCAACTACAAAAAAATGAATAGAACTAAGGTGTTGGGAAAAAGATGAATTAAATCTACTCATGTATGACTGCAATCATTGAAATCACCAAAAAAATGTACCTTTCATGAATGATTCAGGGTGTGGAATGAGGTGCAGATCAGTTAACAAGCCCACTTTAACAGGTTTAAAATATTTAACACACTGGTAATCATCCTTCTGTGATGACAAAGAGACCATATTTAAAGCAGTTTCAAAAATGGGGTATAAAAACTTTAGTTTCTGCTAATATTTCATTCTCTTGAATGATTTTGACTTGGGAGATCTGGGAGACTGAAACTGTCCTTTCTGCTGATGTGTTTAATTTCTAAACATATTGTATCTCACACACTCCTTTTAAAAGAGATTTTATTCTTCTTGACCTATTGTGGGACTTAGGGCTGTCTGCACTAGATAAATGATATCTCACATATCAAAGTGAATGACGATACCTATTTCCTTTTCCAACACTATTAGAAAAGTATTGCTTTCCTTGGTGTTTCTTAAGCAGAAATGCCTTTAATTTATGATGCTAGAATATAAGTGTTGACTGCTCTATTTTTGCAGTTTAAGGACAGCTATTCTTTTGTGATTCTATTGCAAAAGACAAATAGGAGAGCCAATTACTATCGTTAATCTTTTTGCTAATTTACAAAGGGTATGAGATCACAGGCATAATTTCCTACTGTAATCAGTTGCTGTCACTAGGAATCCTGAACAATGTGCAGAGCTAGGACAAATTCAAGGTACCAATGTCAGCCAGCCAGGCATGGGAGGTATCTTTCATCTACATTTAGAAATACTCTCTCTCAATTTGCTCTTCATGTGGTCTACATAAAGCAAGAGAATGCTAAAGTACTGTCTGTATGACAAGATCAGACACCTGCCCAATTTAATAATATAAGCATGGTTTACAGTAAAACTAGATTGTTACTTGGGAGAGGAAATATTTGTTAACTGAAACTTGCATATGTCAACTTTTATGGGTATTTTTCTTTATGCATCAAAAAATATTTAGTAGGAATTTTAATGAGAGTGGGCACTTAAGAAGAAGTAATCCTTATTCTGTTGATAGGCAACAGCAGAGTAACAGTGCATTATAATTTTCTCCCACAATTTACTTTTTTTTAATGCAAGCTTGTAGGATATAGTATGGTTTGGGTTGGAAGATCATCTAGTTCCAATGTCCCTGCCATGGGCAGGGACACCTTCCATGGAACCAGGTTGCTCAAAGCCTAATCCAACCCGACGTTGAACTTCTTCCTTATATCTAGTCTAAATCTACTTTTTTTCAGTTTAAAGCTACTTCCCCTTGTCCTGTCACTACATGCCCTTGTAAAAAGTCCTCTCCAGATTTCTTGTAGGCCGCATTTAGGCACTGGAAGGCTGCTATAAATTCTTTCTGGAGCTTTCTTTCTCTGGCCTGGACAAGCCGAAATCTCTCGGCCTGTCTTCATAGAAGAGGTGCTCCAGCCCTCTCATCACATCTTTGTGGCCCTCCTCCAGACTTTGTCCACCGTGTTCACAACCTTCTTGTGTTGGGGTCCCGATCTGAGTGCAGTACTCCAGGTGGGGTCTCACAAGAGCAGAGTCCCGTTGTCAAGTCATGTTGGGCTTTTTGTCAACCAACACCCCCAAGTCCTACTCTGACCTGCTCTCAATTCAGTCTCCACTCAGCCTGTAGCTGTGCTTGGGATTGCAGTGATCCAAGTGCAGGACCCTGCAGCAGGCCTTGTTGAACTTCAAGAGGTTTGCACTGGCCCACTTCTCAAGCCTCTCAAGGTCTCTCTTGATGGCATCCCTTCCCTCCAGCGTGTTGACTGTATCACACAGCTTGGTCTCATTAACAAGCTTGCTGTTAGTCACTCAGTCCCACTGTCCATGTTCCTGAAAGGTGTTAAACGGCACTCGTCCCAATGCCAACCCCTGAGGAATGCCACTTATCACTGGTCTCCAACATCAAGCTGTGGAGCACAATGCTTTGAGGGCAACCATCCCACCAATTCCTTATCCACCAAGTAGTCTTTCTATCCAAATCCATGTCTTTCCAGTTTGGAGAGAATGATGTTGTGTGTCAAATGCCTTACAAAAGTCCAGGTAGATGACATCGGTTGCTCTTCCCTTATCCGCAATGCCATGGCCCCATCATAGAAGGCCGCAAAATTTATCAGGCATGATTTGCTCTTAGTGAAGCCATGTTGGCTTTCACTAATCACCTCCTTACTTTCTATGTACCTTAGCATAGTATATAGGAGTATCTGCTCCACAGTCTTACTGGGCACTAAGGTGAGACTGACTGACCTGTAGTTCTCTGGGTCTTTATTTTTCTCCATTTTTAAAAATGGATGTCCCCTTTCCCAGTCAGTAAAGTCACTTAAGTAAGTTCATGACCTTCAATTCCAGTTGGAATTTTAGTGAGTAAATAGAGCTTTTTTTAAGGTGTGGATGTAAGACTTTATGTGTCCTGGATGTTTTAATTCTCATCAAAGATGACAGGTATAGAATCAGCCTTCAGAAAATAATGGAATAATTAATGCTTCAGTTTAGAAAATCTTTAATTTCCTGAGGACAGCCAGTGCTTAATAGAAAGAATACACTTCAGTCCCATTGAGTTGGATGGACTTTCAACACATCTGAGTGGTTTACGGTGCTGAGAAGTGCCATGGAACTGGTTCTTCAGACAATTGCTGCTAGGTGTAGAGTTTAGGCCCCCAGTAAAATATCACT